TAGACCTTATGCCTCCAACTGAGTATTGTGTTCGCCTTCCTCCAACCCCTAACACACACACCGAGACTCACTGTGGGAAGCCGTGCACCTGTTCCACTGATAGAGGTGGGCAGTGGGGACAGCTCCCAAAGCTTTGGGAGGGTCCTTCCATGCAGTGTCCCACCCACATGGGAAAAGAGATCTCATTTCCTTAGAGTCTGATATTGCTTTGAACCCAAGGGGTACCCCCAGCTGTTACAGCCCCTTTATTTCTCAGACTGGGAGTTCAAGGCTGGTTTCAAAACAGGTAAGACAGGTCACCAACAAGGGGCTCTCACAGCACTTGACAAGACAAAAGGAGTTCTAGGAAGGGTTCTGGACCATAACAGTGGCATTGGAATATAGGCGTCCAGAGTCCCCGCGACCACCTCGGAGATGTGCTCGCTTGCACATATGAGATCTGCTGGGTTTGTTACCAGACCTGTGCTGTTACTCTGTCGAGACAAACGCCCTGTATAATCCTAGCAGGTGCCATCCATTCCATGACATCAGCGACGGGGCTTGTCCCATAGAATCTCATTTAATTCTTACTGTAACCTTCTAAAGTAGGCATGTGCCTGATTCCAAGACGAGAAAACAAGTGCGCGGTGGCTAATTCTGCCCAAGGTCACAGAGCCAGGAAGTGGTAGGAGCATGATTATATTCAGGTGGCCCTAACTCCGAAGTCCATGCTATTTGCACTCTGCCCCCCTGGGATGGATGTGGCCCCACAAACTCATCCCAGACACGCATGCTCAGAAGGATGCACAGGCTTCCCTTTGTGTAGATGTTACACGCTTGCGCACGCACGCACACACAGACACACGTGCGCGTGCACGCCACGCCCATTACAGATCCCACTGAGAATAAAGGCCAGTGGAGACTGGATGTGAATGCAAACTTCTTCCTTTGGAGACAGGGTAGGAAACATAGTGAAATTTATGGCGGCACTTCGAATCTTATTTTCTCTTGACTTGCTGAGGAAATTCAGCCATCTTTTTGCCTGAAAATTGGATATTATTGCCCAACTCAAAGCCTGGGGTTTGCAAGAGACTAGGAAATAGAAAGCAGTGCTAAGAGGACCATGGGATGAGAAGCTGGCCACCCTCCTCTGGGATGCAATTTTTGGTGTGCATGTATTTCAAAGGCGAATCTGGAACATTTTATTGAGCCAAAAAGCAAGAAGAGTGCTAGAAATCTGGTGGGGACATGTCCAAATGACCCAGGATGCAGCTAGAAGAAGCTCCACTGGCCAATTATGGGTTACTACTGAGCATCAAAATGAAGAATGACAGGGACAGATCAAGACACATTGAATAGGAAAAATTATCCGTCAGTTCATACTGATGCTATATTATTTTAAAGAAGATGAGAAAGGGAAGATCTCTTTTATGAAAGGATGACAAATATAAGTAAAAAAAATGATAGAAGCAGAAAATCTGCTTATCACCACCACAATGGTAATAATGGATTCAGGTTAGACTCATCCATGGATACTCAACCAGCGGGTGAGGGATTCCTGGGGAGGAGAATATTCAGTTTCCAGTTATCCCCTAAAGGCAAGTGGATATCTCCATACCTTGACAATGGAGAAATCTGGTGCACCTCACCTTGACCAATTCATCAAACCCAAATCACCAATAATGGGGCAAGATGACACTGAGGATGACACTGAGGAGGGTGGGGGGATGGGCTAGCCTGGTGATGGGTGTTCAAGAGGGCACATTCTGCGTGGAGCACCGGGTGTTACGCACAAACAATGAATCATGGAACACTGCATCAAAAACTAATGATGTAATGTATGGTGGTTAACATAACAATAAAAAAATTATTAAAAAAAAAAAAAAGAAATGTCAATGCCATGAAAGATGGGAGAAACAATGAGGGATGGTTCCAGATTGAAGGAGTCCAAGAGTCCTGACAACTAAGTTTAATGTGCGGTCCTTGATTAGATCTTGTATCAAACAATAGTAAAAATAGCTACAAAGAACATCACTGGGACAGAGATATGTGAATATGGGCCACATATGAGACAGAGGTACCATATCCATGGGACATTTCCCCAGCGTGAACATTGTGTTGTGGTTCTGTAGGAGAATGCCTCGTTCTTGGGAAATTCTACTTAGGGGTGAAGTGACATGATGTCTGCAAATTCTTAAAAAAACTTAGCAAAACTAAGTGGGATGACCCAAGCTGGATCGATCAGAATCTTTCCTCAGGACTTCCCATGTGGAACTTCCAGGGACGCTCCTTCTGCCCTGAAATCATGGGGCTGTAAGCCTGTGACCACAAACTTCTCAGTGTCACTCACCACATGAGAATGAAGTCTGCACCCAGAGGGGGTGCTGCTGAGCAGCCCAGGGGAGAGAGCCCCCGGCAGAACCAACTTCTTTGTTCTGAGCCCTGAGACCTCCGGAAATGCCAAGGTTCCCAAAGCCCTGACCTCAGGTCTGTGGCTTACTCGCAGTGTTGTGTATAAACGATGAGAAGGCAAAAGGTATAATGGGATGTATTGTGGACGATCACAAAGGGCAGAGAGAGGCAGACGTGAGTGTGTGCGTGTTGTGAGACAGAGACAGAGAGATATTGATTGAGAACACACGTATGTACTATCAGGAACGGCTTTCTGAAGGAGCTGGGATCCTGCAGGAGAGAGAAAGAAGGTTCTAGAAGACGCAATATTGCAAGTAGAGGGGACAGGATGGTTTGAACAAAGGCAGTACAGAGGGCATGGGCAGGGGGCTGCCATGGGGCCTGGGATGGGAGGGTCCTGTTTGGTGTCGGTATATCACCTCAGATGGGAGCAGCAGTGGGTAAGGTGCGTGCCATCAGGAGCAACCCTAAAGAGCTCTGAAGGCCGTGTAGGGAGAAGGAGTTTCCCCAGTGGAAGCTTCTTTGTGTCCCCCTGAAACTGCCACCCAATCACCCAACTGACCTTTGAGTAACCTAAGAGCCAGGTGCCGATCCCCATGCGGTCAAAAATCCATGTATGACTTTGGACTCCCCAAACTTAACTACTAACAGCCTACTGTTGACCAGAAGACTGACCGGGACCATAACGAGTCAGTTCTCATGGATTTTCTATGTTATATGCATTACGTACTGTATTCTTCCAAGAAAGCAGGCTAGAGAAAAGAAAATGTTATTAAGAAAGCCATAGGGAAGAGAGAACACACTTACAGCGCTGTGCTGCATTTATCAAAAACATCCCCATGTAAGCGGACCTGCGCAGCTCAACCCATGTTGTTCAAGGGTCAACGGTGTCTGCATTCCCCAGTCTGCTCTGTTTTCTAGAACCCGCAGAGCGCAGTGAGCGGAGGTTGCTTGGGATGCATATTAAGGAAGCGGTCCTTCCTTGATGAGACGCTGGATGTAAAGGATTTCCAGCCCTGGAGCCAGACGACTTATATTTGAAGCCCAGCTCAACAATCTGACCTTGGGTGAAGTGTTTAATGTCTCTGAGCTGCAGTCTGCCCATCTGTCAAATGGGACAACTAATTGAACCTACTCATAGGGTTGCTGGCAGGACTGAATGATGAAGAACCAACCCTTCTCCTCCTCCCGGATCCGGGCCCGGCTCCCTGCAGGCAGAAGTCAGGGGCAGGCTGGGAGGCCCCGACATCACTTAAACCTGTGGTGTGCTATCCACATGCTCCCGGCATTCCTGTGCAGGCATGTGCCCCATCCAAAGGATGCAGGGGCTCTTCACGGAGGCTGTCAAAACTGCCCCAGGGACGCCAGGCAGCCGCTAGGAGAGCTCTGGGCCCCCAACTGGAAACCGCCATAGGGGCTGCTCACGGGGGCACCCCTAGTCTCCCTCGTGGGCTCCCTGGAGACCCAGCCCCCAGAGTGGCCAGCACTGGAGGGCCTCCTGCTTCCTGGACTCTCACCGTCTAGAGGGGAAGGTGGTTCTCCTGTCCTGGACCCCCCTGCTCCCTTCTCTGACAAAGTGGCCCCACTGACCAGCCAATGCAGTCCAGGGTTGGGGCACAAGGAACCTGGGGCTGGGGCTGGGGGGCAATCCCAAACTCTGGCCTTCCCCGCTCCGCTAAGAAAAGGACGGTTGTCCAGAAAGGACAGATCCTCAAGCAATTAAACACCCTCCTCTCATTTACCTTCTGGTCCCTGGTGCAGATCTGTATCAACATCCCCTGGGCAAGACATCTTGTATGCCCCACAAAACCGATTATGCACATCAGGCCTGGGGATTAATCACCAGCCACAGGGTTGGGAGCCAGTAAAAACAGGCAGAGATGAGATGGGAGATAGGAGCCGGAGGGAGGGACTGCCAGGAGGAAAATGCTGGAGGCCCGGCCGGGCCTGGGGGGTAGCTCGGGCTTCCAGCAGCAACGCATTTCACTGAGACCCTGTGCCCATTCCTCCTCTGCTTTCTCCCCACTTGGCGGTGTCCTGGGGAGGGAAGGGCCAGTCCAGAGCTCTGGGCATGGGCATGAACGTGGAGGGGGGACAAGCCCAAAGGCCCTGGGCAGGCCACCTCCATGTCACACCTGCATTGCCTCCAAGTACAAGATATTCCCTCATTGAGCCCACGTTGCCACATGCCCCCCCCCCCGACCCGTGTGTCGGACCCAGGCCCCTCCAGTGCCCCCAGGAGATAGCAGAGTTCTCAGGGGTGGGGGAGGAGGGGCTCTGGTCACAGGCACGACCACAGCCCAGCGGCTGGTGGTGGAGTCCCCTACCCCGACCATCGCCTCTGCTCTGTTCCCTGTTGCATGGTCCACCCCGCATGGGTAGCACCCCTGGCCCACTCCCTAGACATCCTCTGTTGGGCTCAGCAGGGCAGGGGCCTCTTACTCCTTGGGCAGGGCTGTCTTTGCCCCCCAACTTCTGCCACCCCAGCCTCCCAGTAGCGCTGGCATGGGAACTCTTGCCCCTAAACTGCCAGACAGGCCCCCATCCTGGTTCCCCTGGCAGCCAGGAGGGAGGAGAGGGGAGGGGAGAGGAGGAGAAGGGAGGCTTGCCTGTACTCCAGGGAGAACTTGGTCAGTTCTCTGTTGTTGTGGAGCCACTTGAACTCCAGCGGCCAGCTGCCCTCGGCCATGCACGTGAGTACCAGGCGGTTCCCCTCCAGGTGCACCTGCGTCCTCACCGGCTCCGTCTTGAAATAGGGGGCCACGTCATCTGTGGGAAACAGACACACAAAGCCACCAGTTATCACCTGCTCGCCTTCGGGTCTTTGCTCATGTAGTGCCCTAACGCCCCTGGGCAGACAGAGCAGCTGCATCCAGGTCACTTGCTCAAGGTCACGTGGTGGGGGAGGACTTGAACTTGGGTTGGTCCAACTTCAGAGCTTGATCTTCAGAGTAAGTCCTCCACGCCTATCAACGAGTTCCCTGCCTCCCTCCTCCTCCCAGACCACACCAGGCTCACTCCTTCTGCTGCCACCCCTTCCCTCTTTCCGGTACTTTCTGTCTCTCTCCCCTCTGTATCCCCATCCACTGGATACCCCGTGCTTCTGGATTTCTCCCTGCAGGACAGAAGGAAGGGGGGGCACCTGCTGCGCTTCAGTTAAAGGGAATATAAATGTTGGGGGTGGGTTGACACAAGTGGCAGGTGACAGGTGTCCTGGGTCCTGCCCCCAAGGCTGGGGGAGCCCCTCAAAGACATCAAGGGCAGAGTCCATCCTGTGGGCCCCCTCCACCACCAGGCTGCTTGATTCTTCTGTCCTCTAACACTCAGATTTGGCCAGAATTGGGCGTCTGTGGTCTGCAGGCGGGTTCACATTCATGTCAAGGCCTCACCCTGGCCGCAAGCACGGTCTGACGACTCAGCACCCGTGATGTACGTCTGGGGCCCGGTCAACTGGCCAGACTGCATCGTGCCCCCACCCCACACCCCTGGACTCAATCTCATGAGTGGATAACTTGTGACTACTGCGGAGGGTCTTCCTTGAACCCCACCCCATCCCTGCTCCTGACCCTCTACATGGCTCCTGATAACAGTCACAGAGCTCACCGCCTTACAAAGCCCATCAGAAGGCCCTCTCTGGGGAGTGGACTGGGGGAGCAGCGCCCACCCTGGCCCCGGTCCTTTGCCCACCTCTGGTGGCAGCAGAGGGCAGAGAGGCCAGCAGGCACCCATTTGCGGGGAGCTGGGAGCCTGCTCTGCTGAGGCAGCCGCTCTGCTCCCCGTTTGACAAATGGGCACATTCGCACTTCAAAGGCACATTCCTATTCCCCAGCAGCGTTCAAGAGCCCTTTGAATCTCGTTTTTAAAAACCCTCTGTTAGTTCCTGTCATCACCCATTTGTTTTAAAACAATAACACTCCCAGCCCCCAGTGATTCAGTCCCTGGGATGCGGGGCTGACTCAGAGCCAGAACATCAGAGGGGCGGGTGGGTGGGGCGGGTGCTTGCACACACTCACGTGCACACACGTGCTCTGCACCCAGACCCCCTCGCCTCCGTATAGCGGCTCACTGGGCAACCTGCTCCCAGGTCCGCATGTGCCAGCTCATTCCTCCGGCTCTCCGGGCACCAGCGTGGAGGAGGCCAGTGATGCGCGCGGGGATGGGCTGATTCCAGCAGCTGCCGAGATAATGACGCTGGGAAGAGGAGGGCGGGGCTGCCCTTTCCCCAGAGAACCTGCTGGGTACCACCTAGCCCTGAGCATCCCTGCATCCCTCATCTCACGCTATCCTCACAAGGAGGCCTGGTAGGGGCTCAGGCTCCCCTCTCCCAGGGCCTGCTGTGTGGTGCCCCCCGCCCCGGCCCCGCCATCTGATACAGGGATTTGGGAGGGAGGCCCTACTCAGCCCTGAGCAATGGCAGGAGTCCAGCTAGCTGGTTTTCCTTGATAGGCCTGCTGTCTTCCAAAAGCAGGGCATAGCAGGGCATGTGGGGACTCTAGGGGGCAAGACACTGATAGGGAAAGGATACTGGGGCAGGGGGACAGCCGTGTGTGTGCGTGCGCGCGCGTGTGCACCCATGTGCGTGTTGTGGACGCATCCTTGAGTGTCTGTGTGCATCTGTGTATGTGTATAGGTGTGTTTTCTATGTGTCTGTGTGTTCAAGTGTGTGTCTGGGTGTGTGTGTATGCGTATGTGTTTACCTGCAGGAACAGCTTTCTGTGCCATGAATGCACAGGGGGTAACACAAATCATTGGCCTTGGGCAACTTAGAACCTTTTTGCACTTTAATTTCCTAGTTGTAAATTGGGGGATATGTTTGTGGTGTAGATTAAATAAATTTAAAAACATAAAGAGGTTAGAACAGCGCCTGGAACACACCATAGTAGGCGTGGCTACTGTTACCATTGCTTGTATGCGCAGATGGGCAGACTACGGGAGAGAAGAGCTCAGGCCCTGTTGGCAGGCACCAGCCGCTCCTTTGTGCAGTATACAACTTGTATAACTGTACACAACCCTATTAGCCACCTTCTCAGTGGGAAGGCGCTAACTGAGAATGGAAGAGAACTGTGGTTAGGAAGAATCAATATTATATGGGTGTCATTCCCTTAAACTTTTTCTCACTTTGAAAACACACACACACACACGAAAGACAGATTTTTTAAAATTAGACAAAGTGATTCTAAAGTTCACATTTAAAAAAATAACAAAAGAATAACCAAAAAATTCTGAAAAAGTATGGTAGGTAGAGAAGATTAGCCCAGATACTGAACTATATTATAAAGTTGCAATAATTAAAACAGTGTGTTCTCGTACACATAGTCTGATGAAATGACAGACTCAGAATCTAGAAATAAAGCCCAATACATATGGAATTATTTAATATATGATGAAAGCAGAATTTCAAGTCAGTGGGGAAATGATCAATTATTCACCAAACAACTTTAGAACAGCTAGGGAGCCATTTGGGGGTAAAAAAAAACAGTTGAATCTCTTCCTCACACTTTTCCTCAAAATAAATGCTAGATGGATCAATGTTTTAAGCATGAAAAATGAAATTCTAAAAGAAGTAGAAAAAGTCACAGAGGTTTAAAAATATATAATCTCGAGGAGGTGAAGTATTTGCCAAGTACTTTCTAAGTACTACACAAACTCCAGGAAGTCATAAAACAGACTGATACCTTTAGCTATATAAAAATTCTACATGGAAAAAAAAAGACCCATAAACAAAAGAGCAACAAATGACAAACTCGGGGCAAATATTTGCAACTTCTATCATGGACAAAGAGCTCATTTTCCTGATATAAAAAAATATTCCCATAAATCAGTAAGAAAAAACATGAACAAGCCAACGGAAAAATGGGCAAAGGATATGAACGGTTCACAGAAAAGAATTACAGATAACTCCGAAACACAGACAAAGATGCTGAGCCTCATGATAAGAGAAAGGCAAACGAGACTCAGTAAGATAGCGTTTTCTCCTATCACTTGGGCCACGATCTGAAAGCGAGATAGCGCCGGGTGCCGGGCAGCCCGCGGGGACCCAGGCGTGAGCGCACATGGCTTTGTGGGACTGCAGCTCTGCGGAGAGCAGTCTGGTGGGGCCATCAAAACTACACACGCGCTCCTCCTCCCCCATCCTCCAGCTGTTCTAGAGACTTCTCCTTCACACACAAACCCGTGCATGGGCGAAGGGACAGCACTTCATAGTAGCATTATGTTTTGTAACAGAGAACGCTCAAAAATGACCTGTATGTCCATCAAGCCGGTACTGGTTACAGAAATGCTCACACTTCCAAACTCGAGGATTTTCCACAGCATCAGGCTTGGGATGGTTTTAGAGATCTACTGTTACGTGAAAATAAGCAAGGTGTGGAACGGACATGTAATCTGCCACCATTTGTGTTCTTTTTCCCTGAAGCATAAAAATATATTTGCTTGTCTAGGCAGAGGCTTTTTCTAGGGGGTTACATAACAGAATGAGCTCAGTGAGGCTTTAGGAAGAAGAACTGGGTGGGAGGGGACTCACTTTTCGCTCTGTACCTTCTGCTAACTTCTGTTGTGTCACACAGGGATGGGTCACTTATTTATAATCAGATCTATGCCCCCATCTGCATCTACGTATGTGAGCTTGCAGGGTGAGCGGTCACGGGCCGGTCCTGCCAGGGACAGAGGAAAGGGCAGGCCCTGTGTGTGCACAGGACACGGGGTATAGCATGGCTGGGGGTCCCTGACCACCAAGAGTGTGAGATCCTTGAAGGAAGAGCCGCCTTCGGAGGCGGACGAGAGGCCTCAGTCTTGGGCTTCCTTCTCGTTTCCCGTAACAACTCAGCGGCCCCTGACTGCCTTGCCCTTGATATTCCCACTAAATAGCCCCATTGTCATCCTTCCATTCCAGGCTCCAGGCTCCGTGGTGTGGCCCCGTAGAGAAGCTTATCTCAACTCCAACCTCTCCCCTCCCTCCTGCCCCCCAGCAACATAATGCCTTTTTTCTCTGGAGTCCCTCCATTGCTCCTGGAATTTGACTTCCCAAGCCAGCCCAGGCCTGGGACTCCCACCTCCCCTGGAGCCAGCGTCTGGGCAGCCAGGGTGAAGACCTCCGCCCACCACCCGGTTGGCCAGGAGATGTCTACCGCCCTCCGGAGCCGGCTTCCAGGGGCAAATCCCCTCCCGGCTCTGAAACGCGCCAAGGCCTGTCTCTTGGCAGCTCCTCTCTGGGGGCACAGGAACTGTAACTGCTCACTCACGGGGCGTCTCTGGAATGCGCGGGAACTGGGGGGAGCTTGGGATTCTTGCAAACCTCTCTCCTCACCATCCCCTGGTCTCTGCACCATCATCTTTGTTCTGGGTTGACCTCCATGGCCTCCTAGCTGGTCCCAGCTGGAAAGCCTGTGTTCCCTGGAGCCGCCCAGGCCCTGGGTCATAGGAAGCAGGGACTCAGGACAGCCCACCCCCAACTCCCATCACCAAGCCTCACTTCTAGTCCCACTGCCTTTATTTCATGCTTCTCCTGGAACTTTCTTTCTTTTTTTATTTTTAAAGATTTTATTTATTTATTTGAGAGAGAGAGACACAGCGAGAGAGGGAACACAAGCAGGGGGAGTGGGAGAGGGAGAAGCAGGCTTCCCGCGGAGCAGAGAGCCCGATGCGGGGCTCGATCCCAGGACCCTGGGATCATGACCTGAGCCGAAGGCAGATGCTTAACAACTGAGCCACCCAGGCGCCCCTCCTGGAACTTTCCATACGGGGAGCATTTTGTGTCCATCATCTCCGTTAAGAGTCCTGAGAGCTTCCAAGGAAGGTGCTATCATTACCCCCCATTTACAGATGAGAAGACTGACCCTCGAGAAGGTTTGGTTGTTTGACTCTGCCTCCCAGACATGAAGTCAGATCTGGTGGATTCCAGAGCTCCAGATCTTTCCATAGCTGATGCTCAGCTGTCATGCTCTCCATACCTGGACCTGTGGCCTCATGGGTGGTGAGTGAGGGATGGTGCCTGTCTCTGGGCACTGGTTTTGAAGCCACAAGCAGGGGTCATGTTGGTTGTGTGGCAGGTGCATTCCCACACCAGCTTCGAATGTCATGGCCCCAGAATGAGATCCAGGGATGAGAGGCATGCTGGCTGGGAATGTGTCGGGAACAGAACAACCCAGGGGAGACTGGCCACCTGGGGGTGGGGGCTGCGGGATGGGGGGGCACGAGCTAGTGGGATGCAAGGAGTGAAGCCTGGGAATAAGGGAGGCCGAATGGTGCAGAGGATGAACAGGTGCAGGTGTGAAGGATCAGGTAAGAAGAGCAGGGGTTAGAGCTCATGGGGCGCCCTCCCCACAGCTCTGCTCACCACTCAAGCCTCGGGTGCCAACCTTTCCCAGGGGTCTGGCTTGAAGGTCGCGGTGGGAGAAGAGAATCTGGGTTTTAATCCCAGTTCCTATGCTAACTAAAGTTTGACCCTGAGCAGACTAACTCCGGAG